TATCCTCTCCAAACTTGATATAGCCGTACTTTAAAATTTTTACCAATTACCTTTTGGTGGGTATAAAAAGGTGCTTTTACTTTGCATTTTTCTGATTCCTAATGAAGATAAACATTTTTCCACATTTTATTGGCCTTTCATATGTTTCCAGTTCTGTAAAAGGCCTGTTGATGTGTTTTATCTGTGGCTTTTAAAAAACAAAAATGAATTCATTTTGGACTGGTTTTTGCAACTTATTTGTTTTTAAAAATATATCATTCACTAGATATGCTTCTTTGATGTAATTTTGATGGCAGAATAATATTTCTTGTACCACAATTTACTGATTCCTCAATTTAGACCATTTAGATTATTTCACTCTTTTCATCATTGATGCAGCAGGCATCCTTGCAACCAAATCTCTATATATGCTTATGATTTATTCTCTTAGGATATGCATTCCTAAAAGTGGAATTAGTGAGTCAAAGGGTATGAATAGTTTTAGATTTTTTATTCACATTGCCAAATTGCCCTCCAAAAAGGTTTTATAAACTGATATGCCAACTAGGAATGGATGAGGGTGTGTGTGTGCCTGTATTAAGAATCTTTTCAACACTTTTTTATCCACATTCCTGAAAATTTGTGTGGCATATTGTCTGCTTCCTTTTCCTCATCCTCTTAAGTGTCCATATTAGCAGTAGAAGAGTATGAGGAGATGCAAGTAAACCTGGAATTGGAGAAGGACCTTCGAAAGAAAGCAGAGTCATTTGCACAAGAGGTGGGTATCTTGTAGAGACCTAGTTTTTTATTATTATCTTTAATGGACCTTGCAGATGACATATCAGAAAATTTTTTTGAGGTTGAGTAAAAAACTTTTAACCAGTTTGAATTGAGGATTACCTGATTTAGGGAGGCAGCTATAGAATAGTATCAAGTTTACTAAACTTGATGTCAGAAGATCTGGGTTCAGATTTTAGCAATGTCAGTTACTAGTTGTATGATATCAGAGCAGTCCCTTAACCTCTCGGAGCTTCACTTTCATCGTCTGTAAAATGCACGATGACATAAACCTAACCAAGTGGATTTTAGAATCAGATGGCACAACTTTTAAAAAGTATTTTATTAAGTATAATAGGGAAAAGGAATTGCATTTAGAGATACTGTAACTTGTGATGGAAAATCCAGCTTGAGTACAGGATATCTGTGTGTTTCAAATAGCCTTAAGAATCTGGGCTACATCTCCATAGGTCGTCTCAGATAACAGTATCATTGTATCAGTACTCTCTTCAGCCATTGTACAGTGCTCTCATTATGCGACTTGATTATCCATTATCTCAGCCTTTCACCAGTGTAATGATTTTCCTCTCTATTGAGATAAGCTTTGAGCTTCTCTTGTTCTGTTTTACCTTGTTGACATGCAGTCATTGGGTATTCTATTGTCTGGGGCTGGTTTCCAGGGTAGTGATGAGTCGCCAGTTTGCTAAACTCATGGTGTGGAGCTGATCTGCAATGAGACCTCCATCCTGTATAAGTATTTTGGATCTGTGTGCGTACTGTGGGTTGAAGGAAAGTAACTAAGGAAATATAAAACAGTCCTAGGTAGAGGCATCCAAGGTGTTAAAGGAAGACAAAGCATGGCATTATGGGAATGACATTTGAAAACTGCAGGGTGGTTTTGGTGGGGGTGTCTTTCTGTGTTTGAGCATAGCTGTGCTAGCAATGAACTCTACCAAAGGTTTAGGCCAAGTAGATCTGACTTGAAATATTATGATTCATTTTATTCAGAGAGTTTAATGAAAGGTGAGTAAATATTGTTCTTATTACTTGGAAGAAAGGAAAAAAAAAACCAACAAAATGTGTCAGAGACCTTTGGAAAAGCTGCAGCTAAATAATGCAACTAAATAAATAATGGAGGGGGAGGGGGAGTAGAGATAATGTGATGATGCCTCCATTGGAAAACTGAAAAGGTTGGCTGATTTTGACCCAAACCAAAGGGTCTTACTTATTTGAAGACATTTTCAGTTTTCCATCTGTTTGTGCAATGATGTTAGAATACAAAGCAGCTCAGAGAAAAACTTGAAGGCCATGCAGTAGCAGGGAATACAGCTGGAAGAAGCAAGGTTGCAGTAAGAGTATGAAAATGAATGATTTGCTCTGCCATTCACCTGGTAGGGCCTTCAGCCTTAGTGATTGGTGGAAACAATGATGCTGACATGTTCACTCAGAATGAGGAGGTAGAAGTTTGAGGAGGGAAAGCAAGAACAGTGGTGCTTATGTTAATGGTAGTGTAATATTTGCATGGTGCTCAATAATTTTACAGTGTCTAGATGCTATCTACACAATACTGAGAGAAAAACTTTTTTAAAAATAGGGCTAGACTGGAACCTGCATGTTTCCCCTTTTACATGGTTTACAGATTCTCAGGTTTTCAACAGATAACTACTGGAAAAGGCACATGGCTTAGTTTAACAAGAGCGTCCCACTCTTTAGTGTTTTGTTCCTTAGTGCATGCAGCAAACATCTTATTTGCCAGACACTGCTGATATTGGAAATCTAATGGTAAAGAAAGCAAGTGTGAGCCCAGCCCTTTGTGCTTACAGCCTGGAGCCTTAGAAATCAATTTTTAAAATTAACTTACTTCATATTTTTATTTGCAAAAGGAATATATATACCTTGTAAAAAACATAAACAGTTTGCAAATGTATAAAGTAAAAGTTGAAACTTTCTGCCCCATTTCTATTACCAGTAGTTCATTTAAAAAATAAAACCAAAAACATGATCCGCCTCAACAAGAAGAAAAAAGTCAGTTGTCTTTATAAGTATATGCAGTTGTTTTATTTCCTCAACATAATTAAATTTTTTAATGAAAGACTTTTTGTACTTTTTGGAATATATTTTTCTTGCTATGTTTTCAATGTAGTTTTTCTTTTCTTTTTTAAGATATAAATGCCTTGTTTAACATGTATTCCCAATATACTATGAGACTATTATGTAGACAATTCTTTTTTTCTTTCCAAATAAATCAGATGATATTTGACTGTTATTTTGGAAGGAATGAATTATATATTAACAGCATAAGATTTTCCGTTCACTCTCATTCTTTGAAAAGACTTATGAAATTTCTCTGAAATTCTGATACCTATAGTGTTGTCTGATAAGAGACCAACTTAATAACTCTAACCAATAAGTTCTTACCATAGCTGAAAACCAAATTAATTAGTGTTTGCTAACTGAATTTTCTTGAAATACTTTTTTAGAAAAGGAGTTATGTAGAATTTTTACTTTAGTATCCTGAAGTTTAGAAAAGGTAGTCTAATGGGCACTTTTTTAAAGTTACTATTGTTATTTAAAGGAAATTATTATCTATATACGTTTTCCTCTGATACTAGTAATGTTCAGGGATTGTTACAGCGATTTTGCAAAAGAAATTCATGTTATTTACATCCCTAAGATTTGAAGTCATGTGTCTTTACTCTTTTCTCTCCAAAATAACAGAGTTGAGATAAGTTATAATGAACTTTGTAAAGTTAAACAAGATAATTTATAATCAACTTGTAAAGTTAAGCAAGTTTTCCTGAGTGCTACATGGAAAAGGAGCACTATCCCCTTTGTGCAAGAGAAAACCAAAGCACAGAGAAGCAGCTTGTTCAGTGAGACTGATAAAGCCCCATTTGCACTGGTGGTTAGCATGTGCCCTGCTTTGTTTTACTGGTGAGTTCCAGGCCTCTGTTCTGGTCCCCCCCACTGTCTGCTTCCTTTCTGCTGGCTCTCAGCCTCTGAACAGACGTGGTAAAAGGCTTCGCTTGCTGGAAAACCAGAGAACATCGCTTCAGCTGCTGTTTGCAGGCCTTTCATGCTGACTCTCTGAGGTGCTTTCTAAGATGCTGGTAAGGGACTCCACCTAGTTAAGTTTAAGGGGAAAATATGTAATAAAGAAACTACTGTAGTAATAACTGTAACCCAGAATGATTAATTTCAATTAGACTATTAGTCTTAAATTTAAGAAACTAGGATGAAGTATTGATTACCCTTCCCCAGTATGTTGAGGCCTCTAGTCTCACTCTTCTTTAGCCTAGCAAACATGCGCGTACACATGTACACGTGTGCACACACACATTTGTACTGTCTCCATACCTCTCACTCTTAGGTAAAGATGAGGAGTCAAATGGAAGAAGAATGTGGATTTTATGTATATAAAATTGTTTATTTACCTGTTTGACTTTTTAGTGTGTTTTAGTTTTACAGAAGAACATTATTATAGTTTAGTAGGCTTATAAATTTCTGCACAGGCAAAGAATGAAAGCTTCTGATCATTTTTCCCTCCTCATAGGAAGACATACTGGGAAGAAAATGTTAGCATTTTAGTATAGTGTATTCATAACTTGATTTTGATTTGGAAATCTATACTGACCAAGGACTAAGCTTAAGGATCACATAAATCATTTTATTTGTGGTCTTTCCACATGGAGGTTGATAGAAAATATTTTTGTCTTGAGTTTTATTTTCTGGCTTTTTCTGTTACATGATGAATGAAGTTATTGAATAAACTAATATATGGGCTCTAGCAAGCTGTTTTACAGTACAGATCTTACAATTTAGTTACAATGTAAATTATAAAATGCTGTTAAGAATCTGACAGTGTGAAGCTCTGCAATAAAATGGGTCTGATTTCAGAGTTTGTAGAACATTTCATGCTTGGAATCACTCACTGGCCAACTTGGATAGAGTATTAGGGAAAAGAAATAACAGGTGAATAGAAGATAATGTTGTTTTCAATCATGTAAAGTTGTGAGGATTAGATGAATAATATATATAAATTGCTTAATAAAGTGTTCTTGAATATTAGTATACTGTCTCCATTTTCCATTTTACCCTTCTACTGTTAACAACTTTTATCACTGGGGAAAAACTGATTAGTTTAACACAAAACATTAGGTCTAGTAAAATAGCAGAGGAAATTAGCCAAGTGGTTAAGAGCATGGTAATTGAGATAGATATAGGTTAAAATCCTGGTCTTGCCATTATGTGCATCCTTAGGAAAGTTGCTTAACCCCTCCGAGCCTTACTTACCCTATCAGTAAAGTGGGATGCTGATAACAGTGTCTACTTGACAGTGTTGTTCTAAGGATTAGATGATACAATGAATGTAAAATGATTATCACCATATATATCACACAGTGTTTAGTAAATGTTACCTATTCAGAGTAGAAGCACTTAATTCATAGGATTGATGTAAGGAATAAAATATTTAGTAGAATACCTGGCATAAGGTAAGTTCTTGATAAATGTTAGCTACTACTGTTAATGTTAATGTATTTTAAAGAAATAATGAAATCTTAAAAACTGAGGTTATAGGACTAAATTATATTCACTTTGTTGGGGACAGGATTTAAAGGTACTGAAGATTGTATAAAAGTTAGGAATGAAATTGTAGCAATCACTACTTCTAAAACTTATATACTTCAGAAATTGTCTTTAACTTTTTAATAAAAATTCTACATACTTTTGCTGAAGTTGCAGCTGAGGAAATATGTTGGATTGATTGCTCTGTACTTTTCGTAATGAACTTTTGCAGATGTTCATCGAACAAAACAAGCTAAAGAGACAAAGCCACCTTCTGCTTCATAGCTCTGTCCCTGACCAGCAGCTTTTGAAAGCTTTAGATGAAAATGCAAAACTCATCCAGCTCCTTGAAGAAGAGAGAATTCAGCATCAGCAAAAGGTAACAGATTTTCTTCTGGAGTCTTAGATACACCCCCCCCACACACACACACACCCCACACACCCCATACACACCACACATCTCACACACACACACACTCTTATATACTTAAAAAGAGAGGAGTCAGTCTAGTCATTTATGGTTCTATGTTTTGCCTTACTAAATCCTTCCAGTCACCTTCTAGGAAAAAAAGACTACCAAATGAACTTAATTTATTGCCAAACTAAAATTTATAGTACACTGTTATAGACTTTGTAATGATCTTTAAGTTGTCCCAAGGGTCAGAAAAAGCAAGAGAAAGAGATATGACTCGAAAATAGCTTGGGTATTGCACAGTCTGGAAGTCTGCTTTTTGGAGCAATTGTGTTTTTTGGAGACTGCATACACTAGGAGGGTGTATTAGTCTCAAAGAGCTGTTGGAGGGCAAAGGTTTTGTTCAAAGAGGGAGGAAAAGAAAAGTCCATGTTAGTAGTAATTGTTTGCTTAGAGAAAATTTCTCATTTTGTAAACTTGCTCAAAAGTATATGTTTAAAGACTCCCTAAGTGGTAATTTCAGTTCGTATGAGTGGAGCTATTCCAGCTGACACAGCCTACCTCTGTGGGCTAGGCAGAAAGGATAGTCATTGTGGTAGGTGAGAAGGAGGTGGGGAGGGGAGGTGAAGAGGTGGAACAAAGACTTTCAAATTAAAGAAAACACTTCAGAAAAATCACATCAATATTTATACTACGTACATTGTACCTAGTTTGTGAAGGAAAGGCTGTTAGCTGCTATTTTATCACCTGTCAAAGTCTCTTTGAGCAACAGTATTGACATTTAATCTCTGGAAGTTCTGAAGTTTTTAGAGTTGATGGTTAGGTAGAGTTGATTTTTATTTTTTCCTCAATAAGAAATTTTGGAATATATGTGGAGTACCTGTGGTTAGATAGATGGTAACAGTGATTAACCCTTGGAAAGAGGATTGGGGAACAGGGCTGGAAGGAAAGAATTTCTTTTTATTTGTTGTTCACATGTGTAGAAATTACCATTCCAAATAAAGAAAAAAAGAATGTGTTTTTTTTAGCTTACACTAGAATATAACTTTGGTTCTGAAAAGTGCAACTATTTACAGTTGTCTCATTTAGTAATAATACATGCATAGAACCTACTGAATGAACTGAGGTATAAGACTAAATCATTGTATATATACCTTGTGGTAGAGGTACTGAAAATTAGATAAAAGTTATGAAGAAATTATAATAATCATTACTTCTAAAACTGTTTTACTGTACTATATACAGTTACTCTGGATAATCTTTCTTATACAGATGCTCCTCAACTTACAATGAGGTTATGTCCCAATAAACCCAATTTAAGTCGAAAATATTGTAAGTCAGAAATGCATTTGATACATTAACCTACCTGAACATCATAGCCTAGCCTACCTTAAATGTGCTCAGAATACTTACATTAGGCTACAGTTGGGCAAAATCGTCTGGCAACATGGTACATTGTAAAGTATTCGTTGTTTGTCCTCATGATCGCATGGCTAACCTAGAGCTGCAGGTCACTGCAGCTGCGCAGCATCACAAGAGAGCATCATACTGCATATTGCTAGCCTGGGAAAAGATCAAAATTCGATATATGGTTTATACTGAATGCTAATCGCTCTTCAACTGTCCTAAAGTCAAAAAATCATAAGTTGAACTGTTGTAAAATGGGGAACATCTGTTGGTGGCTTAAAATATTTCTTATCTGTCTGTAAGTTCCCTTACTGATTCTGTAATCTTTTAAACATAGCCATATCATTTTTGCAATAATAAAAATAACATCTACTTCTTATAATAAATAAATTTTTAAAATACAGGAAAAGTTAAAATGAAAATTACCCAAGATGCCCACATTTTGGTGCATATCTAAACTTTGTGTAAATACATCATTTTATGAATTTATATATTTGTTTACATGGAATCATACCACACATACTACCCTATAACCTATTTTTTTCCAATTTGTAATGTATTTTCTCATGTCAGTATATAGTAAGCTATGTGATTTTAAATGAACACATCACAATTTACTAACTCAGTAATATTGGTGGGCATTTAGGTTATTTCCAGCTTTTCACTATTATAAAGAACACTTCAGTGAATATATTTGCATACCTGTCTGAATATTATTTAAAGCAAATTCCGTTGGTTAGAGCACAATGTTATAAACCAACGTCAAGGGTTCGAATCCCCATGCTTGCCAGCTGCCAAAAAAAACCCCACAAAAACCCACCAATTCTAAAAATTGTATAACTGAATAAAAAGGGCTTTCCTTCTTTTTTATTTTTATTGATACCTGTTACCAAATTGTGCCCCCCAGGGATCTTTTGAAATACTACCTGAATTTTTCTCTTAAAAATGGCTACAAAATTATTAATATATTTTAAATGAATTTTTAGGTATTATTTTACTTTTGTGATTCATGTTTAAAAATTAAAGTGTCTGGTGCCTGACTCCCCCATAAACTTATATTAAATCAAAGAGCTGTTAATGATTGTAAGTATTATCTGTATCTAGAATTTGCATGGTTTTTCTGATGGATTAGAATCTCTTTGCTATGAAGTACAAAGTCTAAGGAAAATATTCATTAAATCTCTTTTTTTTTTCTTTGACAAAGGAAAAACTCACCCATAAATGTTTGTTTATAACTTACAGGTCAAAGAATTAGAAGAGCAACTAGAAAATGAAATACTCCACAAAGAGATACACAACCTCAAACAGCAACTGGAACTTCTAGAAGAAGATAAAAAAGAATTGGAATTAAAATATCAGAATTCTGAGGAGAAAGCCAGAAATTTAAAGCATTCTGGTAAAAATATTGAGTAGGCTACTATATCTTGTTATTAATCTGTGAATCTGTCATGCCCAGTACAAAACCTGGCATATAGTTAGTCTAGAACATTTACTGAGTTCTATAGAAAAATACCAAGATTTGTTCTTAAATTCCATCATTTCTAACTATTGCAATTCAGTAGAACACACGCTGTAATTATGATTAAACAGTTCACAAATATTTATACTTTTTTTTGGACTTAGAGCCTTTGTGAGCATCACATATAGAATTAAGACACAAAGATATTTAACATGGGAAACCAAAAACTTCAGCATTTTTCAGGGCTTCAGAGATGAGTGTTCATTTGAGAGTGCATTTTTAAAAAGAATTAAACCTTTTTTTATACTGCCTTCATCTTTGGTGTCTAATAATACACATGAAATAATGCTTTCTATATAACACCTAACAATGAAACAGGCAACAGTATATATATATTAAATGGAAAAACTTTTAAAACACCAGGGATCCTTAAATCGAAGGATTTATTCATTCAGTTCAAGAAGTCCTAACAGGAATGTGTGAGTTGGATTACCACACAGGAATAAGTACAAGTCTCTGTTGGAAGGTAGGTTATTTAAAGAGGCAGGTACATTCCCTTTATAACAGCTTCAATATTCTCTCCAGATATTTTTGGTTAGTTTTATACTAGAATTTTGAAATCTGTGCAGAAGAACCATGTAGGCTTTTTTTCTTTTAAAAAAACATTCAGTGCTTTCTAATCTATAGTGGAAATTGGTTACAATTTATTTTTTGAAAATTGATCCAAAATTAGGAAATATTCCTTTCTTTTTAGTGAATATCAGGGTTGCCTGTGGCTAAAGCCATATTTATTATGAATGGAGGAGGCAAACAGTAGAGATATGTGAGATTCAGTTTTGGAAACGTTTTATTTAGTATCTGCTGTGTGTGTACCCAGTCCTACCCTTGGGTACAACACAAAATACAGAAGAAAAGAAACCATGTCTTTTGTCTTTGAAGAATTCAGATTCCCTTTAAAGAGAAAGATGTGTGCATATGAAATAACTGGAGAATTCTTTGTGTGGGAGAGCATAGCTCACACTGCCTGTTTAAGTGTCGAGGCTAGAAACTAATGGACAGATCGTGGGAAGTGGAATGGCTGTGAAGGGCGAGAGCTACCTCTGGGTACAAATAGTGTTTATAACTCTCTCTATTATCCCATATGTTAGGTTTTAACATCTGCGATATAAATTTACATTGAGCTAGTTGAAGTTAGGAACTGTGTCTCTTTCACATAGTTGGTGCTTTGTAAATGTCTGTTTCATTAATGACTTGAATGAATAAATTATATTTCCAGAATGCTTTTCAAAAGAGCAAAATGCTTCTGAGTTACAGACATTAGGGAATCTGAGTCTGGTTAAAATCAAGGACTATAGTATTTGCAGTTTTTGAAGGAAATTAAGCAGAGGAGAGAAGTATATAGCTATTAAAATTCATTACTAAATGTCATCTTTAAAATTAATTCTTGGTCTGTACACTTTTATAGTCAAGTATTAACAGTTTCTTAGTGTTCGAGTCATATACTCCGTTGTTAACAAATATTTCTTCAACCTACTCAGTCCTTACTTCCCACCTGTCAGCTACTGTCTTGAATTTTTTCTTTTCCCAAGTTGTATATACAGCAAAAGAATGGTAACGTTTTACTTTAATGGAAGGCCTCTTTTGCATTAATGATAAACTAGATAATACAAACTTTTAAAAGTTCTGCAGTTTCATGTTGAATTTTCTAACTTTGCCTTAATAGAAAGACCTTGTGAGAGAGGTTGTTTTTTCTCTTTACATTTATAAAAGGTGTTTAGTTGTTTATTTCAGCTCTCTTCTAAATGCTCGCTCTCCATACAGTTGATGAACTCCAGAAACGAGTGAACCAGTCTGAGAATTCAGTACTTCCACCACCTCCTCCTCCACCACCACTCCCCCCTCCACCTCCCAATCCTATCCGGTAAGCATATCCAGGAAGACTGATTTGCATCAGACATTATTCCTCATCAGAGAACCTGAAGGATATGTTAGTGGTATCCTTTTTTCTTTTGTTAGTACCAGCTTAGACCATGTCATTAAAGGGGTGGTAGAAAATACCTGGCAAAGAAATTCTTGTAGCCTACAAGTGTTTTTCCATCGTAGACATTCAGATTCCATGTTTGAATATTCCAAACCCCAGGAGCTAGACATTGTTTTGTCATCTTAGGTACCCCAGTTTTAAAACTTCATTCTGTAACATTAAGATTTCCTTTAACTGTAAGGCCACAGAATTTAGAGCTTCTCCAGAATGTTTTTATCCTTTTCTCTCACTAATTTGAATTTGAAAAGTTTGTTTGCTCAATTATTTCTAAAATAAAAGTACTCACCTAAAACTTAAACATACTAGTTGTTATCAACTAGTAATTAAACTAAAAGTACTAATTATTTTTATCCCTAACCTCAACCATTAATAATGCTGAGAGAGAAACCTCTCATATAAGAAAAATAAATTATGTTTAAATTCTTGCAGCAGGAAATCATATATTCAGGCAGGAATTCACTTTATCTGAAGCCTAAGGTGACTCAATGGTATTAAATGCCTGACTTGAGCACAGTACACGCTAAGAGATCTAGAGTCAAATTTTGCTTTCTTGTGGTTCTACATGCTACCATCCAGAATTACATAAGACAGTCTACTTGCCACGGTGGCAACTTAACTCTTCATGTCATGATGTTAACTGTTTTTATATAATTTATCTTGAACAAATGGCATTTAGACTTTTGCTAGACTCTTTACCTTTTATTAACTCATGTGATTTGTTTAATCTTTTCACACAGAGAGGCCATTTATTCACACTTTGCACCTTTGCTGATCCATCTGAATAGAATGTGTGGCACGTTCCTCCCACACGACTATGAAAATGGGACTTTGCCTTTTAAAGAGATTTTCATTAGTTTTCCTTACTGAGTGGGGTATACATAATCTACTTTACACCATTGAAGTAGTTAAAGCAAAATAATTTTTACACGTGATCGATCCAGGAGTCAATTGAAAGAATTTCAAGTATTTAAAATTCTTTCTCTCCTGGGTAGCGAAATCCATAGGAGATATTCTGAATTTGACATTTAACATTAGAAATTCATCACTTTGATCTTTTTCTAAGGTCTAGAATTTTGAGCTGATAAGAAAGGTCACTTCTGTCTATGAGGAGGAGAACTATTAAAAAGTAATTACAATCTTGCTGTTGGGCTTTAATTCTTAGTCTTAGAAATGTTTAAGAGCCCTAGAATTAAAAGTAAAGTATAACCTATGTAGAATTTTTTCCCAAACAGCACTTTATAGTTATTCTGAGAAATGAATGTGGGATTCAGGGCTATGTATGTTTCAAGTATGAACTCTTTTTATAAGGCTCTTTAAAGAAATTTTTAATTTAATAATGAGTGATTTTTATTTTAAGATGAATTTAAATAGTATAGGACATGATTTTTCAGAAAAAGATTTTTTTCTTGTCAAAGAAATATATTTGCATATGTATGTATAGAGAGAGAAAGAGAGTTTCAATGGACTTTGAATCCACTAATAAGGTTTTTCAACTTTGTTCCTAAGCCATTTGTTTTACCCTGATGGAGGTCATGGATAAAAATTAAAGTGGGGGGGGG